CCAAGTGTCCACTAGAGGCTGGCATCAAAAGCACAGGAGAAATCATTAACAGCCATACTGTGAATGCTCATTTTACAACAAAAATAAATATGTTTACAACCTGGTACATAAATGTTTTGGGTTTTATTTCCACATTTTTCTTTTTGTACACATTCTACAAGGCAAGAAGTTTGTTTTAACTTGTTTGTTTTAGAGATATTAAACTTTTAAATTATGCATAATTGATCATAAACAGGAGTCAACTGAAAATTAATTTGAGATAGTATTGGCAACAATCATCATCAGGCTTCAAAACTTAGCTTCACAAACAAATAGGTGATGTCTGAAGCTACCCACTGAGCATTTTTTGGTCTAAAAGAGGTCTAATAGAAATCTAAATGTAGCCTTGACGACTGGTCTAAAATCAGGCTACCACAGGTCTAAAAATAAAAGGTTTTTAGACATCTAAACTTAGACCAATTTTAGACTAGCTGGCCTACACAGGTCTAACTGTATATTGCTCAACAGCTATCATAATTATTTTGGTTAAGTACTTGGAGATCAGTTTTGCAACTCACTGTTGCTTTTTGAAATAAATAGCTATTAAATAATGGGTTAAAACACAACATCTGAATTCCATCTAAAATTATACAGAATCTAGACGGTTGAAATTAGGTCTAAAAAAAACTAGACGTCCAATCTGTTACGCAATTTCACAAATCTCAATTAGAACCAAAGAAACCCCTGATAAATAAAGGATCAAACTTAAGTATAAAGTGTAACAGCTGTAGGAGCGTCTCCATGTTTTCACAGGCTCTCAACAAGCCAGCAGTTTTTGCTCATGTTCTGTATAAAATAATCCATATGTCTGCTTGTCCAAAGAGGGGATCCCATGCCGTTACCGGGCCATACGTCAGGCTTTTTATGGGCCTTGGACGGGGCATGATGAAACCGAATCAGGTCATGCCAATTGATAGACATTCTCCTCAGCTATCACTTGCACACACAACCCTTTTAAAGTTCAGCACAGAGAGGTTAACCCCCTCCTCACAGCCGTATAGTTACAGCCAGATAGCTTCCCCAGAAGCTGTCATCATATTGTTCCCTTAAATATTTAACTTCCTCAAGAGATTGAGCTGTAATATAAGAAATCACCCCTGTAATGCCCGCTGACTGCTACACACAGATGTGAGATTTCAGGGTAAATCCTGACTGTAATCAGCCCCCCTATGACTGGACTATCATGTTCTTCCCAGGTCAGACGCCTCAGTCTCCTTTTTCATATTACCCCTCAGATTTGTCTGCAAGGTAGTGTTATATGGGCTGTGGAGAATTATTAGGCTGAGGACACAAATTTTTATTGGAGTCCTGAATGCTGTGCAAAGCAACAAACTACCAGACAAAGCCCAGGTCTTTGCACGCCATAAGATCAAATCTGCAAAAAGCCGTACTTAACCTTCTTTAAAGGAAGCTCACGGGGTAATTAAAGTTTCGTCTTGTGGCGTTTTTATCAGTTTGGGAGATCTTGCTTTGCAGCTACTGGGAGTTGAGTTTCTCATCATTTCGCTGCTGAGTGCAACTTTAGCCAGAAGTGATTCATCACCCCAGCTCATGTCAGTCACTTCCTGAAGTGGACAAGCCTGCAGGTCCCACACTGCAGACAACTCATCTTCACGTGCTCCTGAAGGTGATGTCTCTGATTTGATATCCTTATTCCAACATACATCTTAGCAGAAGCAGTAAGATTTGTTCTTCTCTCTCTACAGGTGAAGCAGATGCTGCTCCGTCAGGAAATACCCTTCCCTGCTCTCTATAGTTGGCATCGGATGACTTCCTGGTGCATCCAGTCCCGTAAAGAGAAAAGGGATTAAAATAATCCAGTTCTTCTCCTTCAATTATGAGCCAGCCTCGCCTTGGAGGGATGACCCTTTGAGGGTGAAACCCGTCATTATGGGTTTAGCCCACCAGGCATGTGTAAGGGACTGCAAGGCGGCCACCCTTACGCCGAGGTATTCTGCTGGTCCTCGGCCCTACAGCCCTGGAGCCAGAGGGCCCCTGGAGCAGGTAGACCAGAGACATGGTGGCCTGAGTGATATTCATGTGAGATTGGGTAAATGTGGCCTCAAGGCACTGTAGGGCACTGGAGCGTTACATTTCAGGGAGGGCGGAATCGAACTTGGAAAGAAAGTCAATAACAGCGACTGAAGATGTGCTCAAATCTCTAGCTGTGTCGCATGGTCTATTTGGAGAAAACATGTAGAATATCAGATTATAATTACTGACACAACTACGGTATCTATCAAATAAGTTTTACTATTAGTGTATATGGTAAATTTGGTGCAACACTAAGTGATTAATCTGCAAAGTGAGGTGGGAATGATTTTTTATTGAATGCGTTGAATCAGGTCAGTGTACATTAATCAGCCTATCTGCTACAAGATTTTTACAGAAGTCCCATCTCTGATTAAGTACAAGGACAATCGTAGTTTAGCAGTAGTTTAGGGTGGCCTATCAGATGGAGGCCATGTAACTCTTGGCAGTGTTGTGCCCGAACGCATTCAATGAGCAATCGTTCATGAACTCGTTCACATTTCAGGTGATCATGAACGTATCGTTTTTTATTCGCGTTTGGACGTGTTAGTGTTGAACGTACTCATTCTGGCGTCTGTAAACGGCGTTCTAAACTCTGTTCACAAGTGTGCCAGATGTCCAGAGCCTTTCAGGTGAAACCCCAGCTAAAACACACCATTTTCCTCATGTTTATGAAAATATACTCTAGAGATTAATGTTCCTACTAGTGAGGACTGGACAAAACATTAGGGAAACGCCAGTATTCTGACGGCTGTCCTCTGAATGCTATCGTAAACCTGGTTGGATCATGATTCAAAAATGGATACGAGGATTAATCTGACGTCAGTTTCAGTGTTAAAACAGCTAAAATAATTGCTGTCTGTGGTTCAATATGGGCTCCGTAGAAAAATCTTGACAAGCTTGCAGCAAAGTATTGGAGAAAAAAACTAAATTAGTTTATTTCTGGGAACCATGAATTTAAGTTCAAAATGTGGAATTATGAACAATGAACTGAACTAGTTCAAGTGAACTTTCCTAACACTGACCCTTGGATACGTCCCTGCCAACATTAAACGTCTTTCGATCGATTATTGCTGATGGAGGTTGTAAATTTTAACTGCACAAAAACTCAGGCATAATGGAAACTAACCTCAACTCAAACTTGTGGCTTTGCAAATGTACTCAACAGTCCACACCTGTGGGTAAAGATTTTTTTAAAACCTATTGTTTCAGCACTAAGTGGGAAAAAAAAGAGTTTAAACTGAATAGAGGGGTCAAGAACTGACAGTAATAATAAGAAGTAAAAGACCTCTCATTGTGAAGGCTTTAAACTCCATTCACTGGACATGATGAGGATTTCAACAGAAAACTTGTTGCTGTGAGAACCTGCTCCTGTATGACAAAAATCCTCTTTGTCTGCTCCACAGATAATAGAGCAAAATGTGGCCTGAGGGAGATAATTTGTTCCCAGATCTTCAGATGGCAATATTTTCATTTGAGCCCAGGAGGGGATCTCTTCAATTGCCAGCCTCCATTGTGTTCCAACAAGGGGCACGAAAGTCTTGTCAATTAATTTTTCTTTTATTCCAGCCCACGGAGCGCCTGAGTGATTTCAATTATACACCAATTAAGAGGTGTTTCCTTTTATTTACAGGCTTTGATTCCGTGCAGATCCATATTGTTAGAAAGTAAGACAGGAGCGGGGTGTTAAATCACTCGAACATTTCCTCCTGATTCATGTTTTCTCCCCAATACTAGGCTTTCTGTGTGTGTCCCCCGGGTCACTAGCACAACAAAAGGACATTACATGCCGTCCCGATACAAAAAAACAAAAAAACAAATCCCATTAACCAGGATTCACACGCAGAACAGGCTGCGTTTTGCGTGACAGGATTTCGTGAATGGATGGAGACAGGTGGAATATGATTCAGCAAACAGGTTCACATCAAACACTCGCAGACTGAGTCAGGTCCAGCCCAGACAAAAAGCTGAACTTGTGAACCTGGTGGAAGTAAGTTAAAGGTCTGATTGCTTGTTGAAACGGGGCGATTGGAAGTGACAAGCGGAAAATGTCTCTGTCTTACACACTTTACTGCTTACAGCCACTTGACAGGCCGAGAAGGATTTATACAGGTTGATCAAATTGTTTTCGGGGCTTTCAAAGAGTTTTAGAGCTTTGTTTCAATAATTTTGTTGAGGCTCTTTAGGAGACTAGTAGTAGATTTGAAAGTGCGGATTTGTGTTGAAAATTTGCAAAAGCTGGTTTATATGTTCATACAGCTGTTCATTTATATGTTTGTCATATTGAAGTGAGTCAGTCGTAAAAAGTAGCTCACAAAACTGAGTGGCTATGCGGTGCAATGTGTTTTATCGAGACTTAAAGAGGAAGAGTTTTTAATCAAGAATAAAATGTAAAAAAAAGGGAAATATGTTATATTAATGCCTGACATTTTAAAGTCAGTGTAAGTATATTTGACGTTGTTTCAAAGCGGTCTGGTGCGTGACTTATTTATCCGTTTTTTCAAATGACGTGCACACTTCATGGAGTTCAAATAAAATGGCTTTTATTCAAACACAAAAACAGGAGTTTAAATAAAACACAATTCAGTCCAAAATACATGACTTCTTTTTTTTTTTGTATGAAAATAATTTCTGTACATAGGCGTCTTCTTTTTTTCTCGTGAAGACACAAAGCAGCTACAATAAGCATTACAAAAACTTTAGAAAAAGTACAGAATGATAGTTATCTACAATTAAATATGTTTGTTGCAGGTTTCCGTACAAACCTTAATGGAAACATGGCGTATTTGACATTTCTTTCATTTCCAGTTTTCAGGGAAAGAAAAGTTCCAGTACTGGCTTATAATGAGGCCAAACAACCAGACTCTGTGTTAAAGGTTAAGAAAAGTGAATGCTAACAGAAAAAGTGAAAAGTAAGACTATTTGAAAGGTTAGACCTCGGTTCCTTCCCGGCTGTATATGAGGTTATTCACACTGAAATGGTTGGAAATGCTCTGTACGGATGTGTAATAGTTCATTCTGTTATTTTCAGAGTTCAACGGGGAGATTAAAGTGGGCGAGTAGGAGCCAAGTCCAGACATGCCCCCCTCTCTGCCCTGACTCAGTCCACCGTGATGCCCGGAGCCGAAGTCCCGTTCTCCTCCTCCACCTCCACCTCCTCCTCCTCCCCGGGTCACGTCGCTGCCGCTGCCCGCCAACAGCGCGTTGACGCTGGATACAAAGCTGCCGAAACACGGGCTGTGCTCCGCGGAGGGAGGCGGCGACGACTTCGGCTCCGTCGAGGCCGGGGATCCGTGCAGGCTTGGCGGGGAAGAGCTGAGGAGGCTGGCGGTGTCTGAGAGCTTGCTGTGCGGGTTGTCCTCTGACTTTACCGGGAGAGGGCTGCTGTCAGGGCCGGTTATGTCTGACCTCCTCTTCCTTTTTCGTCTGAAGTTACCGTTATCGAACATTTTCTCACAGTTTGGGTCCAGAGTCCAGTAGTTTCCTTTACCTGCAAGACGAAGTGAGAGTTAGAGATGAATTCCAAAGTTTTCTAAGTTGTTCATGGAAACGACAACTTTATGTTTACTTTTTTATCAAAATGACGACTGACAATTGTGAGAGTTTAATCGACACAAAGACTAGATTAAAAGATGTATCTTTAAAATGTTAAAAGATCAATTTCTCCAAGTCTCACCTGGATCATCCTCGTCCCGTGCCACCTTCTTGAAACAGTCGTTCAGAGACAGATTATGCCGGATTGAATTCTGCCATCCAGCTTTGCTCTTCTTGTAGAAGGGAAAGTTGTCAGCCACATACTGATAGATCTGACTCAGGGTTAACTTTTTATCCTGGGCGTTTTGTATGGCCATGGCTATCAACGCAGAGTAGGAGTAAGGTGGTCTGACCATCTTGAAGAGTTCCTGCTGGCTGGATATGGACAGCCAGCCCAGGTCTGCTCCACCGAACCCGGTTGGAGGAGGCGGTAAGAACTGCCTCTGGTTGGACCCATATCCAGACTGGATGTAGGAGGTGCCGTTGTTCCCGGAGAGATACGGAGAGGAGTTGATGCCGGGTCCGTTCAGCCACAGGTAAGGGTTTGCGGACGGGGAGGTGTACTCTCCGAGGCCGTAGCTGGAGGGGTGTGTGGGCGGCCTCTGAGGGTGGTGGTGGTGGAGGTTCTGTTGGTACACACCGTAGTTGTCGCAGTACACGGCCATGTCCAGGAGTTCCTGCGCGCTGTGGTGCTGAATGGGACTGGTCTGCTGGTTGGATGGTTGGTGTCCAAAAGCGTTCATAATCCGCCCGGAACGGATTCCCTAAAACCTGATTTCAGAGTGAGGCGCTCCCTCAGGACTGAACTTACCCTCAAAGGGAGGAGTATTTATGCGCGGCGTGGAGACGCTACAGGTAGCCCATTGAAGAAAAGTTTGGGATGGTCACACCCCTCCTTGTGTCACAGTAGACCCACATCTCACTATCAATAAGCATCGATACTACCTCCAACTGCAATGCCCGGCTTCGTGGTTACCTAAGGTGCATTTTATCCAGAGTAAAATAAGACTTGAACTGTTATCTGTGCGTATTTACGCATTAGGGATAAGAATTTGATTGGAACAGATGATATAAAGATACATCCAGGTTTACTTGGACAATATTTGATTTAGTAAATACTAGGCTTTATAAACTGTCACAAGGAAAAACACAACTTTAAAAGATATTAAGGATTATTTTGCCTGATGTTTCATGACAGGGTTTATATTTTAAATTTATGGATTAAATTTCATGCCAAGTTTCAGCAACGCTCCTGCGCGTAAAAGGCAGGTTCCATATGTGTTTTTTAAGTGAGAAATTCTGAATATGCAGCTTGAAATCGGTCAAACTCTGATAAATGTAGGTTTCATCAACGTGGGCCTGTTTTTATCAGCAAAACCGAGGAGCCTCAAATCTGAGCTGATCAGAACAGTAAGAATTACAGCTGGTGTTTTCTGGGCTCTGATTATGAGCATGTCAGAACTTGTTGAACTTTCTACATCAAAGTGTCAAACCCAAACATCGACGAGCGGCGTGTGTTTGTAAAAAAGCACTCCTCTCTTTCAAGAAATTCATTTGGAATAAACACTCTGGGGGTACCGCAAGTTTAGTGTCAACAAGTGACCCGTGTCCCACATAAAAGACATTTATGAAAGAAAGGGCCGCTCTGATTTTTCATTAGATCACTCGCTCTCCGTCTTTGTAAAACTTTGTAAAAAAAAAATTCACTAAAACATTTTAACGACTTGACTGACCTTAACCCTCAAGATAAAAAAACGTAACTTGTTACGTGATAAAATAAATTACAAATAATCACTTGAACTTTTTTGTGACACAGCCAAAAGTTTGAGTTTGTGGATGAGCAAATAAATCACTTTGAGGCGTTATTATTATGTTTTACGCAGTATTCAGCCCCATAACGTGACTCTCATTGTAAAAGGTAAACCGGCTCAGACTTCTCCTAAACAGTAGGATCCTGGTTTCTTCTAAAGCCGACCTCTGGCAGGCAAATGGTCCAAGTTTCGTAGAGAAAAGAGGGGGAGACATCAACTCCTTCAGTCCTCCTGTGAGGTTTGTGTTCGTCTCTCTTTAAAGCTCCAGTGGGTGCTTTTTAGCTGCGTATGAAACAGACTGAAATTGATGCTGATGCTTTTCTACAACCAAACAAAAGCAAAAAAAAAGACTATCGACATTTTCTATATATTTATTTTTTATTTTTGAAACCACTGCCTAGGGGGTAGGTGCCAGACTGGAAGAATGACAGCGCCCTATAGAAACAGCCTTCTTTTGCACATCCCCCCACTGTCAGAGGGGGGATGTTGTCAGAGGACACTCAGTATGTTTGCATGATGTTCAAAAATCAATTTAGTGTCTTAGTCCGACTGAAACTAAACCTTTAAAAATCAGTGTAAACACATACGCCCAACTGAAATTGCTCTAAATCGAGGTCCTCATAGTCGGACTAACATGCCTGGATAATGTGATAGGAGATGGATTGTCTGTGTCATATATAGGAGTTATCATTCAGCGCATGCCCCACTCACTGGGTTTTGAACTGAAAGTAGAATAATGTTGCTGGTGTTTACCTAGATGTAGTAAACAAAATCAATAAAGGAAGTAAAAAATACAAAACTCTCCTATTGTACAAACAGTACAGAATCGTAAGAGTAATGTTTATCATCATTTAACGTACATCCCGTTAGCCACTTGCTGACTCGTTTTGCTGGCTTTTTTAGCACGTAATATGTAGACCAGGAGAAGACCCAATAGAAACAAGCTGAAAGGAGCATGTTGCCACCGTACTTACCAGAAGCAGACATGCCTGTCAATAATTAAATTTTTTGCCCAGTGCTTGTAAACTGGGACAAGGACTGGGACCAAAATTTAAATTTACTGGAGTTTTTATCCAATAAATATATTAATAATCGTGTTTTCAGAATTTTCTGGAAATTTAGAGCCACTGTGATTTCTCTGGCGTCAAAAACAGCTTCAACACCAATGTGCACGTCCGCTTTTATTTGCATCGGCAAAGCCATGCCGGTTGATAATTCAATAAGTAGTGTTTTCTACAGTTTTCTGCTGGACTCCAGCACTAATCGGCACAACATTCCTCCTCTCCATGACCTTGATGTAATTGTTTGGCTCAGAGGTGTTGTCCCGACCACAGGCTGTACAGCAGTGCAGTCCACAGGGGGGGAGTGGCATTTAACCCCCACATGAAAACAACACAACCTGTTAGGTGTTTAACAGCCAGCACAGCTAATTACTGCTGACTGCTGAGTGGAGTTCTGAATGTGAAACAAACCCAGCAAAGACTGTATGATCCTCCTCAGGCTGGCGTTTAAACCCTCTGAATTTTGAAGGGAGTTTTGTATGGAAAGGTACAAAGGCCCATGGAAACAGGAGATTTACTGTATTTTAAAACAGCTGTAAATTTCCTTTCATTTTTCTTTCTGATTAAGCTTTGAAATAATAAATGTGGCTTTAAAAATGAGCCCTAGGTTCAGGCACTATTGCAAAGTAATAATTCAGATATGCTGACTGTGTATGCTGGGAAGAGGAGACTGTGTGTGAATGTATGTGTTTCAGGGGGGTCTATTGTTGCCCAGTCATGTCTGTCTTCAGCCACTGTTTCCTCCAGCTTTTTTAAGGTCATGGGCTCTTTTCTCTGAGAGATCAAGTCAATCGCGGCGGGGTCAGAGAGGCACCGCCACAGGCCCCTTCAGGCTGAAAGCAGATGAGAAGCTCTGCTACAGGTGAGGGGACAAACACTCAGGCATAGTCTCCTTTTTTCAATGTGAATCAGCACTTTTTAAATCTTTGGGATTAAAGCTAAACACTAAAATCATCTAAGACCCTCAGGGTACACTATACTATGACCTTTGTTTCATCCTAAAATCTGATATTTTTTACATTACATTCTATTTTATCTTTTTCATACTATGATGTGAAATTTTTATTATACTATACCTTGCCTTTTATCACACTATACTATGATATGTTTGTCATACTATACAATACATTTTTTATCTTACTATTCTATGACATTTTTATCATACTAAAGTATGACATTTCTTATCAAACTATACTGACTTTTTTAAAACAAAAAAAATGAAATTTCTATCATATTATACTCCAAAATTTTATCATACTATAATATGACATTTCTTCAATTCTTTACGAAGAAATTTTTATGTTACTTTTATACGATGATATTTTTATCATTCTATACTAGGACTTTTTTTGTTACAAAAAATTGAAATTTTTGACATACAATACTATGACATTTTTTAACATACTATACTATGTCATTTTTTTTATCATACTATACTAAGACATCTTTTTATCAAACTCTACTTTCACTTTTTTATATTTAAATTGAAAACTTTAACATAAAATTCTATGACTTTTTTTAAACATACTATACTATGACTTTTTTATCATACTTTACTATAATATTTTTTATACTAAAAAATTAAATTTCTATCAGACTATACTACGCCATTTTTATCATACTATATTGAGACATTTCTTCAATTTTTACTGCAAAATTTTTACGTTGTTTTATCTTGTTTTTTACATGCACACCAGACTGGGATTTGAACCCATGACATTTAGTTGTGAGGCAACAGTGTGAACCATGACACTATTCTCACGACCATTCTGCAGTAGATCTTTTTCTCACACTATGTTTTTGAAACATACTATACTATTTTTTTAATCATACTAGAGTAATACATTTTTGTTACAAAAAATTGAAATTTTTAACATACAATACTATGACAGTTTTAACTTACTATACTATGACATTTTTTTATCATACTAAACTATGCTTTTTATCAAACTACACTGTTTTCTTTCATAGTAACAAATTGAAGTTTTTAACATACTATAACAAGACATTTTTTATCGTACTATACTATGACAATTTTGTTATCATACTATACCATGTTTTTTTTTTTATCAAACTTCACTGTTTTTTTCATACTTAAGATGTGAAGTTTTAAACATACTATACCATGACATTTTTTTTATCATACTATACTATGACATTTTTATCATACTATAATATGACATTCTTTAATTCTTTACAAAGAAATTTTTATGTTAGTTCATAATGATGACAATAATTACTTTTTTTTTTTTGAAGTATGTTTTCTACAATGCACACCAGGCTGGGATTTGAACCCATGATATTTAGTCATGAGGCAACAGTGTTAACCATTACACTATTCTTGTGACTGGTTCACAGTAGATCTTTTTCTTACACAATGTTTTTAAACATACTATACTATGATTTTTTTTTCATACTAGACTATTACATTTTTGTTACTAAAAATTGAAAATTTTGACTTACAATACTATGACATTTTTTAACTTACTATACTATGACATTTTTTTTTATCATACTATACGACGTTTTTATCAAACTATAATATGCTTTTTTTCATACTAAAATAATTGAAGTTTTTATCATACTATACCATGAAAATCTTAATCATACTTTACTATGACATATTTTATCATAGTTAAATTGATTATTTATTGTAGAACATTTTTAATTATACTATACAAGGACATTTTTTCATCATACTCTACTTTTACTTTTTTCATATTTAATTTGAAATTTTTGACAAAATACTATGACATTTTTGAACATACTATACTATGACATTTTTTATCATACTTTACTATGACATTTTTTTATCATAGTAAAATGGATAATTTATAGTAGAACATTTTTTAATGTACTATACTATGACAGTTTTTTCATACTAAAAATTTAAATTTCGATGATACTATACTACAACATTTTTATCATACTATAATATGACATTATTTATTTCTTTACTATGAAGTATATTACTATTATTATTAACTCTTAAAGTTTATTAACTTAAACCCCCTTAGACGGGCTCTGCTAAATTTCACATATTTATCCATGTCCTTATACGTCCACTGAGGTGGTGGCATGACACGGCTGGGGCCTGTTGGGACCCCGTGGGGAGCTAGTTATCCATTTGTTCTTACAGGGGCTTTTCCTGCTTAAAGTCTCCCTCCAGTGGAGGAGCAGAGTACAACAAACACCATGATTTAACACCACTCAAAGATGCACAAGTGCAGAGTGTTGTGTCCACAGTAAAGCTGCCTTGTGCAGAAACTCAGCCCCTCAGCAGCTCCCTGACTGTGCAGGTGGAGATTAAAGACACTCAGAGAGTGGTGATGCCAAACTTGGCAGGCAGAGTGACTGCCTGGCCTCGGAGGATCCTTCATTTCTCCACTCGCTGGTCTTTATTCTTCAGGATGCCAGAGACAAATCCATTCCAAGACACATTTATAAAAGCTCTCTTGCTGAGTTTTGCACTTTCCTGCAGTCTGATTTTTAAAGGCTTAAAGGGATGAATTATGGTTTTTCGTACTTTTCTTTAAAACTTTTCAAATCTCACGCACTTTCATTCTTCAACAGAGAACAGGGAATTTTTTTAGCTTCATTCTCTGGATCTTTGTGATACATTTTTACCAAAGTCTGGACTGAATCAGGGAAGAAGATGACAGGGTTTATGCAGCTAGTGTGTAAGACAAACTATGGATGAATATAAAACTCTGAACTGTAATAACCCAGAACAGTGATCAACTCTCTGAAGTCTAGGCTTTCTGTGTATTTAAATGTTGTAGGTTTCACAAAGGAATGTGTGAGTTTGGTGCAAACATGGTCTAAAAAAGCTGAATTGAAAAAAATGAATTAAATTATGTACTTCCGGGCACAGAAAACAGAGTTTAAAAGGTACCACTTTGTCCAAAGGTGGCGCCAAATTTGAGACAAAGTTTCTGTTGGAACTTGGAAAGACATTAGTTAAACTGAAATGACTTCAAAATAAGATAAACTGTGAATTTCAAAATGAAGCCTTGATTCAGACCTTCAGGCTCCTGAAACGAACTATCAGACCACGTGGTGAGTTTGGCGCCCTCCTGTGGACTAAGTGGTATCTTTTATCGCTGCTGATTTTGTCTGGTACATGAGACAGCAATGTTTTCATTACAAAAAACCCTCCTGATTTCCAGTTGACTTATTAATTGCATTTGAAAATGTTGAACTGCTTCTCTGCTGTATGTGGTTTATCACTTCATTGGCTGCAGGGATTTCAGACACTAAAAACAACTATAGAGAGAGTCAGTCTTGATGTTTGATGGTCTGGTTTGCCTTTGTACATCTTGAGGTGTCATCAATATTGATAACAGTCTCTTCTGTAGCCAGTTTAAAACTCCTTATAGTAGCTTTAAACAGATTTATAGATGAGCACAGAGACAGTTTACCCTTGTAGAGATAAATTAACCAACTGTGACATTAATCAGCACAGTCAAGCACACAAATGATACAGATTAAAGTAAAATATCTGTTGAAGTTTGCTTCCAAGGCATTTGAGTCACAGCATAATCCCAAATGTGAACTTTTGTTGCTCCACAAAGATGCTCAGGAATTCATCTACCTGTGAGACCTGAGGAGGAGAATATTTCTCTTGCTAATTAGATGCTCCTCCATGTGGAGTCCCCTCTGACCAATTACTGCTCGGCCCAGACAGTCGGTGTCCAGGAGCTCAGGAGGCAGGAGCCCTGCAGACAGCACGCCGACTGAAGGAGAAATACAAGCAGTGTGTCCTTCTGCTTCACTGCTTCTGGTGGCATTAGCTTAATTCTCTCCTCCACCGGGGAACATTTACACCTCTGCTCCTGATTACCTCCTTGGGGATATCAGATGTGAGCGGTCTGTTGGAGCCAAGATTGCACTCTGCAGAGGGTTTGGACATGCTCTGCCTGCTGCCTCCCTGTGTGATTTTCCCAAAGAAATTAAAATTTGACACAGTGAAACTAAATCCCAATCACCCATTAAAACACTGCTTCACTTCACTGCTGCTAAGATACTGTTGACAAGATTTAATAGAGTAAGGTACCATCGTTTTCAAGGCTTGAACCTGTCCTTAAAATGATCTATATATGACCAAATCAAACATCAACGTCACCATGAAAACAAATCATCTAGAAAGGGATGCTGCAGGTAGGCTGCACTACCATTTCTGTCCAGATGAGGGCAGCATAGCTTCAGATATAACACCTCTTAACACTCCTTCATGAACAGAAATCTCTATACAACACATCTGTGCATTATGCTGTGCAGTTTCCTGTGAGGCAAAATGAATCTAAAAATGGAAATGATGGGTTTGTTTATTTTAATCCTGCAGATGTGAAGCAGTACCGGCGCTGCAAAATACGTCAGATATGAAAAACATAAGAAGTGCATCATTGTGGAGTCTGCAAACTGGATGAGTGGACATGATTTGTAGATGTGCATGTGTGTGCAGGTTTGAACACAGATGGATGATTTGTGATGGTGCAAATGCAATTCTTTGACCCCCCAATTTTTTTTTGAGGAGGGTTGCTGAATGTCTTGAAGTTTAATGAGGATAGAGACCTGTACAATACCTTTTTAGCTTTATATCATGCGTCACATGACAGGAATAATACATTAATTCTGCGCTGAAAAGGTCAACATGATTCCTGTGTTTTTAAATGCCACATGTGAGCTCATCTGTGTGCGATAATAAATCACTTTTTGCCATTTAACAGTCAGAACTGTGATGGATCAATTTTCTCAGGGACATAGTTATGAGCCTTTTCTGGAAATCTGTGATAAATAAACCTCTTTTTTTTATTTTTCATGAGAAATACTTTCCAAGCAACTCAAAAACATGACACATGAGTTCAAAAAGACCAAAATTCAGAGATCTAATAAGCGGTCTGGAATCAATACTCCTCTACAGGGGGAGCATGCCGATGGCTTTTCTCAGTTATTGCTATGTGAAGCTGAAAGTAGCCGGAAACTCTGCTTCATCACACCAGTCCTCCACCCCCGATCTCGAGGTAACGTTTCCTAGCAACACATTTCAGGGACTGCCTGGGGAAACCCTGTGCTTCATAATAGCCTCAGCTAATATAGATCACCACCACTTGGCTTCCTCTATCAAACCAGGATAATAGTCTTATGCGCACAATGAAGGTTTTGAATTTTAGTGCTGAATGCAGCATAAAATCAAACTCCTGCTAACAGGCGAAATGATGTAAAATGCAGCCAGACCTCCTGTTCTTTAAAGTCCAGAGTCGACCGGTCTGTGCACCTGTAAGTGACAGCGGCTCCTGATAAAAGAGTGATGGATGTGTGTGTGAGGAGAGTGAAGTTGGAGGCAGTAAAGAAAAACAGCATCTAAGTGTTCAATCAAAGGCTGGCTGCAGCTCACAGTACAGGTGCTTAGTGAAGGTAAATTTGACGGATTGGAAACAAGCTCAAAGGACAGTTTGCTTTTTAAGAGAAATCTCACTTTGAACAACAAAAAAAGACATTTCAAACTTTACCAACAACTCCAAATCAATATGTGTTCATAATTGCATCAGGTTTCTGAAAGAAAGTCCGAAACTTGTGATTATTTTTACAAGAAAGCTGTGAAATTTCTGAGAGTCAAAGTGATATCATAGAACAAAAGTATATATAATTAACTGGACGGAGCAGGTAACTTTGTAGTGTTTCTGAGTAATGCCAGCCAAGACAGAAACCCTTAGCTTTAAAGGCAGGTCTTGTCTCAAAATGACACTTTTTGTACTTCCTTTTATGTATATAAATAACTATGGTTTACCAAATTGTGTCCAACTTACTTTTTATTTAATACTTTGTTGTGCTGATGTGTTTTTGTATTGATTTTACTATTCTCCTGATGTGTCTTTTAAATGTCCTGTAAGGTGTCCTTGAGGCACCCACAAATAAAATGTATTATTATTATTATTATTATTATTATTATTATTATTATTATTATTATTGTTGTTGTTGTTGTTGTTGTTGTTGTTGTTATTATTATTATTAAGTGGTTTTCATACTCAAAACCTGGGTATATGCCATTAATCACAACATCACTTTGGGTCTAAACAAACAGAAATCAGTAAATTACACAGAAAACTCAATAAATAAGCATTGTAGCTTTTCAAATTCAATGTCAGTAATTTATTTGTTGATAAAATACAGACAATCCGTATCAACTCCAAGACACTAAATGTGTCCAAGCAGTTTTATTTTAACCCTTTAATGCCTTTTGTATCATATTTGATACACGCTTCTATCAATTTAATATGATTAAAAAATTACTAAAAAAAAAAAAACACCTGAATATAGTCAAATGAGATAAATAAATATATTTGCTAAATTTTAAGGACATTTTGATTTTTTTTTTGGTTTTCAGTCGTAAGTGAAACAAAAATTTCAGCTCTAAAAATTGTGAATTTTCTGGCCATAATTTGTGGTGTCAGGCTTTAAACGGCTACGAAAAATTAAGAGTAAGCTTAAAACATGATAGCACATCCAGAATTTTATATCACTCTTGAATAAATGATCAAACTTTCCAGATTATTGGGATGTGTAGCTGTGTGTCATCTGCATACAAGTGGGAAAAGGCAGCGTGTGTCTGAATGATATGTCTGAGTGGTCGCATGTAAATGAAGAAGAAAAGAGGACTAAGAATAGACCCTTGAGGCACACCATAATGGCTTTAAAGGTACTATAGGACGGGCATGAATAAATGAGTTTTAAACATGTCAGTCGGGTAAACAGTGAACTCCATCTCTAATTAGAAAACTTGAAGATAAAAAAATGTCCACAGACGTATCAGTAAACCGACATCTCCAATTTACTCCAATTTACTTTACATTTTCTCACCTTTAATTGAGCTTGACCTATAAATAACTCCATATTTTCTCACCCTCAGTGACTCATCTGTTTTTATTCAACTGTCTTGTGTGCGCACTAATCAGTTGTCAGTGTTTAGCTCATATTTCTGCACAGCAATCGTCACGCAACACACAGCGGAGTAAGATAACATGCGCCTTGTTCTCGTCGCACATGAGATGCCCGCTCTGTCATGAACACATCCATTCATTCAGTCGGTTTACTGAACCACAAATTGTCAACTCTGCTGAGACAGAAAGGGGCCTCATGGTTCCTGCATGACACTATGTGACAGATAGATGCGCACAACACTCCACTGTCATGTTGACATCCATACACTGCGGGGGAAGCTTTGTTTGTTTACCAGAGGGCTGCAACAGGAGGCTGTAAATTCAGGGTTTGTGCATGCGAAATAAACGGCATTAGAAATGAATGAAGAGAGTGACGTTTTCTGTGAGGAACTTTTGATCCGAGTCAAGTTTGTGTCAAAGCTGTCTTCGCTTATCGTGTCCTCTACATGCTCGAGCTGTAACTTAAGGCTCACAATAAAGGATAAATCAATACACAGTATATTTACTTTTGTTGTTTGGAACATGTAAGCATGCCAAATTGATGATATCTACTGTACATGACTGCAAACCTCTTAGTATGAAGGGTCAGTCTTAAATGGTTGATGATGAAGGTTATTCAAAGAAATATTCATACTACACATTAGCATATTCCTATTACCAACAGGAATTACTCCTTTTCACACTTTTATGAGAATTTATGCAGCAAAAACTGCTCTGAACATCGGAGCTCATTCCTGTAAAGTTATGTATTTTACGAGTGTTTGCCCTATTAACATAGTAAAGAAACTGATAACCGTTTCCATTACTTGTAGCAAGTCTGTGTTTGGCGGGAAAAACGAGACACCCCACTGACACTTGTGATTGGATTTATGCACACTGTTGATTTATGGAAATATTCTCCTCTTTAATAATGTGAAGGAGACGTTTAAAGAGAGGCATGCACATTTGCTGCCTCCCAGCAAATGAAAGTGTGTCAAGAGGGGAGGAAAATATACACATTATTCCAGACCACAATGACAAATGGGATGGGGATGGAGTGCGTTGTAAATACATTTTTATTCCCGGTGAGACGGCGCTAGCTCACAGCTTCTTCCCCTCCTACCCCACCAAAGCCTCTGGAAATCCTCTCAATTAAAGCGATGCATTTGAGGAGAGAGAGGAGGGAGCATAATGCCGGAGCACAAATCACCGAGAGCCTATTGAAAAAGCTGCCAGTTAACTATGTAATATTACCTCTGCGGGAATGCTTCACCTTTTATCCCCTTTCAATTGCAAGGCCAGACATCAAGTGTGCTCTGGGTGTTCTTGATAAGTGAATTATGCCATTGATGAAACTTTATATTCATACTCCACAGTCGGAGGAGGATAAACTTATCATGGTGGGTAACAGTTTCCATCAAAAATGTATTGGCCGATGACTTGGACTCTCTGATGTTATATGATTTTACTATGCTAAATAACTAAAAACGTTCACTGCCTGAATGAAATCAAATAATCTGAAATAGATCTTGATTAAAGCCGCAGTAAGGAGTTTTATGACTTTAATAAAACAGGCTGAAATTCACATTGGAGCCATTTTATGATATTCGAAAGTAAACAAGGCCATCAGTGACAAGATTGCTGATTTTTGTAGTGTAATTTTCACAGCAAGCAACCAGTGCAAGAGCGTAGGTGTTGGGTGAAGAAACAGCCTTTTGTTTTTACATTTTTCACATACATTTTTCACAATAAATAGTACATTTAAAGTCAGAATATTAAGATTTTTCACCAGAAGTCATTACTAGAGGACATGATAAGCAGAGACTGATCTGTCCACAAGGGGGTGCCAAAAGTGACATAAAACAAAAGTTCCTCACAGGATCTTCAAGTTCAAGTAAAAGCAGATTTTGATGGAATGTTGAAACAACGTTGAAAGATTTAATGGGAAATAAATGCACATTATAAATTTGATACCAGCATAATAATCTAAATAACTAAATTCTGAACTAACAGGGTTAATATGAAACAGGTTTGTACATAACCTGGTCATTCCAGGATAAGATTCTCAGATATAAAGACTGAAAAAGGTTCACCTCGTGAGAGACTGCAAAGCAAATAGTACAAAAGAGACCAGCTTTATATTCTACTGTACTGCTGTATTATATTAGATAGTATTAGTAGTAACTGCAGTCTTTAATTTCAAGGTTTTACACCTACTTTACCTGCCGACTACATTGAATATTTGCTGTCAGTTTGATTTTTTCCTGTTTTTCATAAACACTGCAACTGGAAGAGCAATTTTGGACTTTTTGTGAGGTGATTATTTTTTTTCCTGGTCTGAAATTTCTATATTACTGTCTTTTTCTTCAATTCTTGTTTTATTACAGCTATTATTTTGCTGCTGGGCTATAAAGAGGTGTGTAAATAAAATGTATAAGATTTATCACTGTCACAAATATATTGAACTGAGCTCTGGACTCTAACTTTTGCAAGTTTAGGGTATTAGCGTTGTTGTTCAGAAGCCATTTCTGTGCAGCTTTATGTTTGGGGTCATTATCTCTCTGTGAAATAAATCTTCTAAATTACACCTTACTTGCGGGTCTCAGCAGGTTTTCTTCTCAGATTTCAGGGTATTT